TTCAATAGCCATTGAGATTCACCCACATTGAGCCCTTTGAGATGTCCCCAAGTCACTTTGTTAGTTTGAGATATTACCTTGTTTGGAATTGGTTTGTTTGGGGACAAGCAAATGTCTAAGTGTGGGGAGTGATTATGGTCAAAATACACACATTTTACGCCCTTTTTCCTTAGATGTTTGAGGCGATTTCACTCAATCGGGTTTGGTTTTACCTTGTGCTTTCTTTTGCTATGTTTCATATCCTAGCAGGTAAATCAACCCCTGGGAATGAAATTTGGACGAAAAGGAGCGAAAAACGGGCCAAAAGGAGAGGACAGTTGCATATCACGTTGGAAGCCAGCTTTTCACGGCATGCCAGCCTGTGAAGAAGCCTCCCCGCCCGTGAAGTGCCATGTTTCCAGACGGTTTTGTGCACCTCACTAGACTTTGACTAGTTCACGGTCGCTGGACCGTGAACACTCGCCTTGGACAATGAAGTGCATAAGTAAAACGGTACACTTCTGCTGAAGATCACAATCCCCAGTCAATGTTCACGGCCATGAACTGGGACCGTGATATGCCTTCGATCTGGCTATATAAAGAGAGTTAAGCTGAAATAAGAAAGGGGGGGAGAGCCTACTGAGATAACTTATTCTTGTTCAAGACTTCTAGAGAGAGAAAGTAATGAGCAAGGAAGAGGAAGGATGCTAGGGTTTCATCCAAGCTCAATGTTTTGGGAATTTCAACCTTCAAGGTTGATTTCCACACAAAAGGAAGAAAACATTCATCTCCAAGATGGGTTTCTCTTCTTCCCTTTGTGTATTCCTTCTACCTAGCATTGAGTAGTCCTTTATTTCACTTGGGTGATTGTAAACCCTAGCTAGAAACATGTGAAAGTTTGTATGAATTGATGATTTGTGTATGGTTGTGTTGAATGCAAGTTTTGAGTTATTTTCATGGATATTGTGTGGTGTTTTCCATTTCCAACTACTTTGCAAATTTGACCTAGGTAGAGGGAAACTCCCTTCTTGTTAAGAATCTTTCAAAAGCTTGGTTTCTTGGCCTAATTAAGTCACCTACCTAGGACAAATTAGGGCACACCGCTTACTACGTTTAAGCACCTTGTGTCAGTTGCGACTTAGCTGTCTGGATTTGGTTCGAGGGTGAAGCTTGGCAACTCTTTGACGATTAGCTAAGAGAGTTACCCATGTAGCTTGACTTATGTCCCTTGGCCGATTGGCTAAGAGAGTCACCTAGGTAGCTTGGCTTGTAGCCCCTTAGCCAATTGATCAAGAGAGTGAACCCAATTCACTTGCTGCGCTTCCCTATGGTTAGCAACCACCTTCACCGCGCACTTACATGCGGTTTAACTCACCTTTATAACTAGCAAGGGGGAACAACACCTAGGTGAAGCCTTCTCAACTACTATTCACACCATTTACTTTTCCAACCAAAAACCAATTGCTAGATAATGTTTCAAACAATCGAAATAGGGGTACATGGTCGGCCCGAGTTTGACTTTTAAAACATATTTTCCCTATATTGCACCCAATTAAGGTTTATACTTGGGCCTTGATTGGGATTTCTATTATGGTATTCGGGACGAGTCAGGCAGATTACAAGTAAGAACTAAGAATTATTGAGTTGGGCTCTAATTACACATGAAATGGCCCAATGGACCCAATCAACATGTCGTCTCGTGGGAATCCGATCATATATCATAGAAAACAAAATTTGGCGACACTTTTCTAACTAAAAGAAAAGTTTGATACTTCGAAGTAAGTGTACTTTATATTTTAACACTAATATAAAGAGGTTCTCTTTCAGAATCCCTCTAATCATACTTTTCCAGGCTCCTGCGCATAGAACGGAGGGTACCTTTGGTCAAATTTTTTTAAATTTATATGGCCCTAATGAAGATAAAACGTGTCATTTGGTGGGCCTTTCCTCAGAATCCCTCCTATTATATTTTTTGTAAACTTAATTAAATAGAGACAAAAACTGTTACTCTACCTGTTTCCAACAAGGCAGACACATGGTAATTAACTATTTATGATGTTTGTAATTCATTTACTTTCGGAAGAATTGAAATTTTTTTATTAAAGTTTTTGTCTAATTTTAGTTTCTCTGTTATGCATGGGCAGTAGGTTTTGGTGGGGTGTCGACTGTTGAATTTTGCAGGTGGTTCAAGCAAAGAGTTCTACAAATTATGCTGAGGACTTCAATTGTTCAAAGATTAAAGGAAAAACTTTATCAATATTTTTCTTATATTGTCATGTCTAATAAATATTAGAAGTTGTTATATGAATTTATTAATACTTAATTGACCAATGTCAATCTGAATAATAAGTATTTGGGCCGAGTTGGTTTTGATGTTTCTCTGGAACAAAAACAGTTGGGATGACAATTTTGTCCAAACTCATAAAGTAATTAATTATCCAACCCAATTGAGATTTTTTATGTATAGGCAACCCAATTGAGTTGAGTATGAGACTCAAATACAAGGTAAATGCGTACATTTTTTAGTTTTATATACATACCACTTACCCATATATATTTATTAATCAAAAAGAGACTTCACAAAATAAGAATCATAGTTTTATTATTCCATAATTGATATTTGGTATTACCAACGGATAAAAAATACCCAACTCGTTTATCATAACTAATCAGTGGAAATTATATGGTATAGAATCTTTTTTCATGAAAAACTCTATAAAACTCCATGTCAAACAGACCCTAATGCAATGGTGATATGATCGTATCAGGGTAGTATGATTATATCATCATCATCGTATCAGGGGAAATAAGACACGAGTTTTGTACACTTGTAGCCTTGGATTTATTACCATAACCCAAGTCATTGATAAGTTGGTTGGGTGTATGTTGGTCCTCTGTTTAAATTTTTTTTTTCAGGGACACGCATCTAATTGACAATACAATGCGCTTGTTTGATCTTCCAACAACAAAGTCGAAGGGATGAGAATTTCGTGTATGACCTCTTTATATGACAACTGACACAGATCTCAAGCGCTCTTGTTAGGTGTTTTTCAATCTCCCACAAATTCAATGGACACTATTTCCTTTTAAACTTCAATTTAAAAAAAATGGTTTAGAAAATAATTGTTAATTGAGACTTGTCAAAGAAAAGTTGAAGAAGACTACGAAGAGTACTTTTATAAGAAGTATACAACAACATCAAAGATAAAAAATAGTTAGGTAACAATTTACTCTACTCTTTTATTCTTTTTAATTTCAAATTCATTAATTTAAGAAAAAATATTACTCACTAAAACATAAGGTTTCGACTAAACAATGTGTCTCAATTGCTAACGTTTTGTATATGCAAGATTCAGCCCCCAGTGGTGGGCAAAATTGTTGAACTATGAATTTATTGTTCCAGATCGCAAGAGAGTTAGACTTTTTGGAACTACTGAGAAAATATTCGAAGATAGTGATAGAATGAGAGAACCTTAAGTCCTCATATTGGATGGGGATCTTCTCTTCGAATGTGGATACATAGATTTGGGGTATGAAACATGATGATGTTGGGGATTTGAGATTGGATAGGGAGCTAAATCGAATGTGGATCAAATAATAAAAGGATTTGGGTTTCGAAAAGATGATTTTGTTGGAGATTTCAGATTCGATAGGCAGCTTATGATCGAACTTCGAACTAAGAGGGGACCCTCCAAGACGAATGAGGGAACGTAGAAGGGAGACTGGAAATTGGTTAGGGCGACGGTGGGTCGTATCCATAGGGTTACCTCTTAATCGATATAATTAAACCGGGTACAGTTAGGTTGAAGTCCAATGAAAAAAGTTTTAACGCTTCGTGATGCTTTTTATAATTTTCCTTGCCCCCGGTCTTCCGTACCCCGGATTTTGCATTTCAATATATTTCGTTGAATCTGAACCGTCGGTTATTATTTTTTAGATTAAATGAATATCGTGGCTTGGGTTAGAGAATTAGGGACTGGGGTTTATCCATTAGAGGTTAGGGTATAGTATCAAGCCCAAAATTTCGGTTAATTCCTGCTCTAAATTAGTAAAACTCGACGGGCGTACAATGTATGAATGACATACGCTAGTCTGAACTATATATATATATATCTTAGTAATTTTGAAAATTACATATAAATCAAATATAAAATAAAATATTTTCATGTATTAGCACATCAAAATGTTCTTTATTAGTCAAGAGCAATATGAGACAGCGGGGATATGGATTCAATATTCATTCTAAGTTTACCTTTTGCTTAAAAAGGTGATATAATCACTTAAATTTTATGCTTTAATCCTTTAGACAGTCTAACTTCAAATTAAATCACTTAAGTTATTCAACTACCAAATGCATATTTCCAAGGATAATTTTGAATGTGAAAAGCCTAAATGAAATTATTTCAACTACTAGTATGTTTATTTTTTGGGAGTCAATTTAGTGAATTAAAATTTAAAACTAGATCAATTAAGTTTTTTCATCATTCCAATTTTTCTATTTGTAAGGAAATTGTGCTTATACGATGAATAAACAATTTTTTTCAAATACAAATATTCACAGACATTCATCTTTTCAGTTGTGAAAATAAAATAGCAATATGACATGCTAAAAATTTTTGTTGATATTTTAATAATTTATATTGAATATATATTATGATAAAAATATTTAGCTTATATTCTATTTTAAGTAATTCTAATTATCTAACTAAATAATTTGTTTATTTTTTCATCAAACATAATTTATTTATTATTATTGTTTTTTTTTGGCTTCTACTATATTACACATTTATGAAATTTCCTGCTCTGGTTCTAAACTTATGAATAATGGAACAACCCCATAAATTCATAAATAAGAACAAGAAACATTCAAAAACAGTAAACGTCCCACTCCCAAGGCCCTCGCCACCTTATTCTCGACCCGCTTTTCTTTCCCCATTGTTCTGAAATCCTCTCAAACCTCCTTCTCCTTCTTAATATTCTTTTCCAATGTATGTATTGCTCTCTTCTTCTTTTTCTTTTCTTTTTCTTCAGGTTGTGCATCTATGATACGAAGCGACAGCGATAAGCACCTCCAGGCACCACCACCGTCTCCCATTCCAACCGGAAAAGGTTCTCGCTCTGCTGCCAACTCCATCTTTACCAACTACCTCCACCACTCCCTCCAAGTTCCCGACCTCTCCGAAGTCCCTGATCCCATGACTACTCTATCTTCTTCTAATAATGTGACGATGTCGGCGCCTGAGCCCAATCCATACCCTCACGAGCCACAAGAAATCAGCCTCCCGTCCATAGAGTCTCGTGACACTGTGGTCGTGGATCGCCTCCTCAAAGCTGCAAGGGAGTTTGGCACCTTCACCATCACCGACCATGGCATCTCCACCGAGGTACTTCGATCACTCGTCCAGAATGCCGAGCGTGTTTTCCAGGTTCTGGAGGATACTGATATGGGCCACCCGCCTCGTAACTTTGCCAAGCTCCGCGAGTACAAGGAGCAGATCGAGTGGGTCCGCTCTGGTGAGGAGCGCATGGAGTGGGCCCGCGGCTGGGTCGGCCGCGACGGTTCTCGCCACTTTGGGTAAAATAATTAACCAAACTAACTAAATAATTATTAGTTTTAATTAAACTTAATCCAATTGATCGATAAGTTATGGGACACGTACATACGTGTTGTGTAGGGAACAGATGGAGAAGATAGCGACAAAGCTAGATGCGATCGCGAAGCTGATATGTGAAGTGTTCTCAGAAAACTGGACAAAGAGGCAGTTCGGGAGGAGGTTTGAGGAGAAAGATTCGATTGTGCGGCTATACAGATACAACCGCGCCAGTAACGAGAGCCACGTGGAGTTGGTAAATCAGCAACAACAGGCACATGATGACTGTGGTGGGCATGCTGTGTGCCTCCACTTACCAGTCTCCCTCTCTCACTTCTTGCTTCAATCTTCCCTAGGACTTCTCTCATTCCATGCCGGCCCTCACGCTCTTGTCGTCTCCGTTGGACGTCGCTTGCAGGTACCTATGTAACTATTAATTTTTCAACAAGTAGTAGAGATTTCTTACAAAACTTGTTTCATTAATACTGATTGATGACGCGGATACATGCATGAAGGATTGGAGCCTAGGAGATTTCAAGTGTATCTCTGGTGAAGTGGTATGCTCGCCGCAGCTAGAAGGAGGAAAACCCTCCTACTCCGTGGAGCTAAAGTGTTTGTCACTAAATTTTGATGTGAATCGATCTAAAAAGAAGAGTCTCTTTACGATCTCCGTGAGGAATCAAATAATTATAGGGATAGGGCTTGCTCTTCTATATAAACTTGTGGTTTATGTGTATACAACATGGGAAGCTTATAAACTTCAAAATCTATGATAAATTTTTTGGGGTTGTTTAGGGTTATTTTTTTCTTTTAAGTGTACCCTTCTTATTTCTTTTTCAGCTAATGACAAGCAATAGAATTTTTTTTTTTTGCGTCTCCATTGGAATTAAAATCTAAGCTCAAGTTTTGTATAGTTATATTAGATTTAATCAACAAGCAATCTTCTATTACGATATTCTCATGCTCGAGTCCCTCAACAAAAAGATTTCTTAATTAAACATCTCTCAACATCAATTGCTTTTCAAACCATGTTCCTTCTATTGATTTGTTGTTATTTCATCGTTTAAGCGAAGGTGAAATCATGAAACTAAGCTCTCTTTCAGTAAAACTTTCTCTCTAAATAATTCTTAAATTTTAATTTCACCTATTCAAGTCCTCATAATAGCCTATTGTCATTTCAACGTTGAAGTGGGAATGAAATTGTTGGGTAATCATAATTGGACCATTGGGGGACATGGGCCCGGGGGGGGGGGGGGGGGGGGGCTGCATGAACCCAAGCCCACCTGAGAATTAGGAGAAGGGGATGCAAGCTAGGAGTCAGGCCCAGGTTAGGTTAAGCAGGCGCATAGCGACAAAAATAGGGCGGGGACCGTGTACCTAGGAGACCAGGGGGCTGAGGGCGTGCCACCTGGCAATGTGGTCCCATCGGGCGCCCAGGCTTAGGAGCCTAGAAGCTACCACGTGTAGACGCCCGACCGTTGGGCCGTACCGAGCATTTAATGACGAGCTGACGTGGAGCTGAATTCTAGGAGCCCGGTCGGGACCTCAACGAGTATAAATAGTACTCGGTAGGTGGCATTTAACCAGGTTGGCTTCTCTCACTAAAATCTCTCTTAGCACTTATCTCTTTAGGATTGGTACTGACTTGAGCGTTGGAGTGCTAACGGGCACCCGAGAGCCCTTTAGGCACTTGTGTGTGCAGGGTCCAGGCGCCCCAAAGGTGTTCATCAGCAAGAATCAGGAAGAGGCGAAGCGAAGGTGGTTCGTGGCTCAAACATTTGGCGCGCCGGGAAGAGGGAGAAGGAGAGGCGCATGGAGAACATAAATGAAGGAAACGAAGGGGATGATAATTCAAGGTCGGGCAACTCAAACCCCGAGGAGGGCGAGCGTCAACTGAGTCAGGAGCTGAGCATGGATGTGGAGGAGGAAGGCAGCCATGGGCGCCTGTCCGCGGATGAGGGGGAACCCTTGACGAAGAGAGAGCTGTTTCGAATCATAGCTGACCAAGACCGAGCCATAGCGGCACTTAGGAGAGAGTTAGAAGGGGAGCGAAGTGAAGATATGATGATGTACAGCCCCGGAGCGAGAAAGCGCGAAAGGACAGGGGAAAACTCGGAGTCCCTGCAACACGGACTTCCGCATCACACCGAGCAAGGCCACGACATGCCTGGGCGCCCGCGTATCTGGAGGCCGCCCGCCGAGCTTACGCAGGCGGGTCCTGATGACGTCTGGGCGCCTAGGAGAATTGCTAGGCGGTTCAGCGTCCGGCAACCTCTGGCGCGAAGCATCCTGATGGCACCGGCGGGAACGACGATTCCTCCGTTACCTAGTTATGATGGGGTGGCTGACCCAGAAGATCATTTGAACAGTTACTTCACGAAGATGCAACTTTATAACAGCTCGGACGCCACGTTGTGTAAGGTGTTTCCGTCCACGTTTGCGGGCGTGGTCTTGGACTGGTACCACCAAATCGAGGAGGGGCGCATAGAGTGTTTTGAGCAATTTGTTGAACTATTCTTGTCCAAATTTGCAAGTCGGAAGCGTCGAACGTTGACCATAGGCGCCCTATTCAAAGTAAAGTAGAGGGAGGCTAAGGCGCTTAGAGAATTCTACGACCGGTGGATCTCGGTCGCCATGGCATTTCAAGACGTCCTGCCGGCGGTGCTGGGAGTTTGCTTGGACGCATGCACCTCAAGCGAAGAACTCTGCCGAGTCCTTTCTAAATGAGACGTGGTATCCACTGAAGACCTAGGCCGGAGAGTGCAGAAGGTGATCATGTTGGAAGAAACGTTGGCTGCACGAAGAGCTGAGAAGAGGCGTATGAGGGGTCATAAAGTGGAGGTAAGGCAGGCGCCTAGACCCATGACGGGAAATTTTGGTCCGCAAAGGAGGCTGGAGGCACCACGTCCCGTGCCAAGAAGTGCTGCGAATTTTACGGAGTACAACGATACACTCAAAAATGTCTTGCAATATGTGAAGGAAAGGGGCTATCATATACGTTGGCCGGGTCCCATGCGTGGCCAGCCTAATGAGAAAAATCTTGACAGATACTATGACTTCCATCGCGACAAGGGGCACTATACAGCTGACTGCTACCAACTAAAGGCCGAACTTCAAACATTAGCCGATAAGGGCATGCTCAACGACTTCGTGAGGAGAGTGGAGGACAGGACCCATCGAACCTATGTGACAAGGTCGGCGCCTGGGGTGCCGATGATCGAAAAGGCGCCCGAAGAGCCAAAGACCCAGCAGGAGCCTGTGATACCGCTGCCCCCATTTGAAGTAGACCAAGAAGGAGAGCCTAGTAGCGTCAGGCTCACAGTCGAGTCCATAACCAGCACACTCGACTTGAGGGAGAAGTTGGAAAGAACTAGGCGCCTGAGGTCTGCCTCGTTGGAGGCAAGGGCAGCGGTACACATCCACTTCAATCAAGAACCAGATGAAGCATGGCAGGTCCCGTCGGAAGAGGCTGTGATAGCAGGGTGTAAGGTGAAAAGAATGTTGGTGGACACCGACAGTTCAATGGATGTCCTCTTCAAAAGCACGTTCGAGCGCATGCAGCTAGCGCCTGAGTTGGTGCGTCCCTCGAGTTTGGTGTTGGTTGGGTTCTCGGGAGCGCCTGCCCAAGTCATCAGGCGCGTGCACCTGCCTGTGACTCTTGGTGATGAAGGGCATTGTGTGACGCATGTGGTGGAGTTCGGGATTGTGGACTGTCCCTCACCGTATAACGTGATACTTGGTCGACCACTCCTAGCAAAATTCAATGGAGTAGCGTCCACTTGTCACCAAACGCTGAAGTTTGTAGCGCCTCAGGGCATAGGCATCTCCCGGGGATGGAATGTTCCACGATATGCGCGAGACGAGGACCCCCAGATGCCGCGTCTGCAAGCACAGAGTCAACACTATCGATATTCGCCTTGAGGAAGCGCCTAGAGCGGAGTCCGTGGATGATGAGCTTGTGGTGGCTTTGGATGAGGGGCGCCCAGAGAGATACGTGCGAATATCGGCGCAGGCTCCTGATGTGATGAGGGCGCCTTTGATCGAATTACTAAGAGAGTTTGGAGAGCTGTTTGCTTGGGGCGCCCAAGACATGCTCGAGGTGTCCCCTGAGGTAGCAGTGCATAGGCTCACGGTGGAGGAAGGCAAAAGGCCAGTCCAACAGAAGCGTCGAAATTTGCCCCAAGAGAAGGAGGAGGCGCTTCGCCGAGAGGTCGATAGATTACTCGAGGCGGGTTTTATGGAGGAAGCAAGATACATCACGTGGCTTTCTAATGTGGTGTTTGTCCCAAAGCCGTCAGGAGACTGGAGGATGTGTGTGGACTTCACCAACCTTAACCGAGCGTGCCCCACAGATGCATACCCCATGCCGCGCATTGACTTGCTTGTGGACGCAACCGCTTACCATGAGGCGCTTAGTTTCCTCGACATGTTCTCAGGCTACCATCGGATCCCTATGGCGGAGGAAGACATGGCAAATACGGCCTTCATGACACCCTTTGGAAACTTCTGTTACAGAGTGATGGCTCGAATTGAAGAACGCAGGGGCTACGTACCAACGCATGGTGAACCAAGTGTTCCGCAAGCAACTCGGAAGGAATGTGGAAGCATATGTGGATAATTTGATCGTAAAGAGTAAGAGGCGTCAAGACCACATCATGGACTTACGAGAAACTTTCGAGACGATGAGACACTTTCGGTTAAGGCTTAATCCTAAGAAGTGTGTGTTCTTGGCCGAAGCAGGGAAATTCTTGGGGTTCATGATAACAAGGCGGGGAATTGAGGCTAACCCCAAGCAATTCGAGGCGATTATGAGTTCCCCCCCCCCCCCGCCCAGGACGCCTAAGGAGGTACAAGTATTGACGGGGAGATTGGCGGCACTTGGGCGCTTCATCCCAAGAGCCTCCGATCGGGGCGCCCCCTTTTTCAAGGTTCTAAAAAAAGCTACCAAGTTCAAGTGGACCAATGAGTGTGATGAAGCTTTCAAAGACTTGAAGAAATTACTCACGGCGCCCAAGGCTAAGGAGGTGCTATACTTGTACATAGCCGTGTCTCACATCGTTGTGAGTGCGATTCTCATATCCAAAGACCGATTGATGAACGAAGAGAAACCGGTATATTATGTGAGCCGAACCATGGTGGGTCATGAGAAGCGGTACGCGCCTATAGAGAAAGCGGCGTTGGCGGTAGTGATGGCAGCAAACAAACTCCGGCCCTACTTTCAGGCTCATCGTATTGTGGTGCTCACACATTTCCCCCTCAAGACGGTACTGGGGTCAATGGATGTGTCCGGGAGCCTGGTGAAGTGGGTTGTGCAACTCAGTGAGTTCGACATAAACAATGCGCCCCGTCCCGCTGACTCACTCCTACTGTCACTCTAGAAAATGGCCAAGTGCAACCACTTCCTAAAGCGTAGTATAGCGGGTTTGGGTTTTATTGTCAACCCGGGTCCTAGATGTGATGACTACTCGGTGAATTCTCGTTATTTAGCAGTGAACTTTTAGTGCAAACTCAAGCAAACAAAAACACAAAGCAAGTAAACGGTTGTTGTCAAGTCAAGAGAGGTCACCCGGATATGGTTCCCCCTAGACTGCAGTTAAGTCGGATTGCAATTTACCAAGTTCAGTTTTCATGAAGGTTATACTGCGGAAGGTTCTTAACTAGCCTGAAGTCTCGACTAAAGGTCTCCAGACCCTCTCAATCTGAGTCTCTAGCGGGCGACTAACCTCCACCGGAGTAAACAGATTGAGGCCCTAACGAACCAAACCTCCACTACCGAATTGAATTCGGTACAGAATAGCGAATTGGGTCCTCGACTAAAGTCACCAATTCGCCACCTTCGATTAAGGGTACTCTATCAACCTAGGCAGATATTCTCATTCTAGGTTAAAGCAGAAACAACAGGAATTTGATCAGGATTCAAGTCATTCA